ACCTTTCTCTTTGTGTTAGCACCATTGGATGTTCAGGACGAAAAGAAGTGACATTAATTTAAGCAATTTTCTCTACACAGACATTTTTCGAGCCAATTAAACTCTAATTATAAGTATGAAGCTATTGAAATAGATAAGCAGAGTTGAATCTGGAGAGAATAGATAATGAATGTAATTGAAATAGGAAACCTGGAAGGAAATATGGTTATCCATGGGGTCCAATGGGCGATTGGCGTCCCCAGGCAACTTCTCTTCATCATCATCCCTGCACTTCACCAAGTGCACGCCCACGCCGTAGTTGAAGAGCCACGCGCCGTCGAAGTCGAACGTTTCTGGCCGCTCCACCACCACGAAGCCCAAGATTTTGGTGTAGAACTCCACCGATTTCTCCACCGACCGGCACACGCGCGACACATGGTTCAGCGCCTTCAGAGGGGCATTTCCGTCATTCAACTTCTCCCCGCCGCCCATTCTTTTCTCTTCTCACATTTTTCCCTTTCAACTCGACCCAGCGTGTATTTAGAGGGCGGCGGGTGAGGGATTCACCAACCGACGCGTGGCGGCCGACTCTTATGATTACCACTGCACCTGCTGAAATAAACAAAAAAAAATCTCCGTCTGTGTTGAAGTTAAACACAGCCTTAATTTTTTTTTTTTTTTATTTTACGTTTTATGAAAAATCTAATATTTTTTATTATACAACATTAAAAATATTAGTACGAGGGCCGGTGTCAGGGGCGGACGCAGACTCGTAAGATTGAGGGGCACAAAAGTAACTTTTAGAAAGTGTAAAAAAAACAAATGATATTTATTCTTTGCATATTTTTATATATTATATCATTCATAATTATATAAATTCAAATTTCATTAAATAAATCTTTTTCAAATACAATATTTTTTTTTTCTTTTACATTGAATATTCTTACAACATCACAATTTGTGGACTTTCTTATAATCAAAATAAATATTTTATTAGTTAAAAAATCAATGACAAACACAATTTAAAGTAGTTAATTTTAAACTTATAATTATAATTTTAAGAACACCTAAAATTCAATATGTATCAAAATCAATATTGACTTTTGTTGAAAATTGATGTAACTCATTTATATGTATTGCCTACAACATAATACAAATACAAAATACAAATAACTTAAACTTTAAGAAAATTTCTCAATAATTATTTTACAATATAAGTATATATGTACTAATTTTTTTAAAAAATTGCACAGAGGCCTGTGTCCGCCCCTGGCCGGTGTGATGCATGGTGACGAATATTCCGATTGTATTACAATTTAACTCTATAAATAACAACAATCATGATTTACTCATTATTTTCAAAATCAGACTGGGCAGTGAATAGTCTGACCGAGTGGACCGCGAACCGATTTATCGGTCGGTCTGATTCGCTTAATAAAATGTTTGTTTCTGAACTGATCAACTTCAATCACTCGAACTGGTAGGATTTGTACAATTTTTAAATAAATTTTGTAACGCTTAAAATTATTTTTAATACAAATAAAAATACATATTTAAATAAAATAAATATTAATTAATATTAATAAGTTATATCCTAGTCCAATTAATAATGTATTGAATAAATAACGTGATCAATTCGATGATAATCCGATTATGAGAAACATTGATTTATCATACATTAATAAAAGTTGTAATGCAATATCATTAGTTTACATAAATATTAATAAAATGACATATAAATATTCATAAATTATGAACATATATTCCTAAAATTATTCTTGGAGCTTAGATTACACTACATTTATTGTAATAATTAAAATTTTTTATTTTAAAGTTTCTATTTAGTTTCAATAATCAATTTGGTGTGACCAAACTAACCCATAACTAAGGATCAAACCTAGTTGTGTCATAATTTTGGACTATTTTAAATATCATCTGAAAGTAATTTAATCATTTGGGCAGTAAACTATTTCAATCACCTGATTGATATAAAGAAAATTTCTTATTTTTTCTTAAATATATTAATTACATGAAATAGTCCATGAAACAAATGTTTATAATAAATAAAATATATTAAGATGGTAGATTATATATTTAAAGATAAATGAATTATTTCTTACTTTATGCATATTTATAAACTTATACTTGTAATCATTTATGATAAAATATACAATGCGTGATAATTAATTGGAGAACAAAAGGATATTAAATAAAGAATCCGCTTTCGAAAGAAAAAAAAAATCTATAGAATTTTCCTTTTTAGTAGCTAAAGTGTTTAGTAAAAAATTATACATAGTATTTTAAGTAAATACATACATACATAAATTTATATATGTATGTAGATATAGGAGTGTATCCAATGAACCACTCCTTAAATGAGTATGGGAGATTCAATTTTAACCATTAATTTTGTGTAAATCAATGTCTCGTATTAATCAATTTGAAAAATACATTAATAAAATAAAAATAATAAATTATTATTATATCTATATATATATAATAAGAATTAACATTTACCATAAATAGTAGTAAGTAAAAGTCAACCACATTTATTATATACTATTTTCAGCAACTTTTACATTTTACATTTTAATTTTAATTCATTATCAAAAAATTGGATGGTTCTTAAATTAATGGGTTTTAAATGCACGTATCATGTTTTAAAAATTATAAGTCATTTAAAATCGGAGGGTTCATAAATTAATGTTTACAAACTTTTCAAAGTTGTAATCTTTATGGCATCTTTTCTTTTTGACTTTTAATAATAAAATTATTTTAAATATATATATTCTAATCCAAAAATTCAATCATGTTAAATATATATATATATATATTGGACGCTAAAAATATTTTTTAAATTGCATACCCAATCAATTAATCTTAATTTTTTTTAAAATTACTATGTTTATTTTTTATTAATATGCATAAAATAAAAATAAATAGTTCATCTTTGGATATATAATTTATAATCTTAATATACTATCATTTGGTGTAGACATATGAATCATAAAATATTTTTATTTCATAAAATTAAATATAATATTTAAAGAAAATAAGGAAATTACTTTGGATCAATCGAGTGATTGAATTAGGGTACTGCCCACTTTGATTGAATTACTTTTAGGTGATATTTAAAATAGTCAAAAAACTTGATATAACTTGGTTGGTCCGAGGTAATTAAGTTATGTATCAATTTGACCAGACCAAATTGATTATTGAACCTAAATATAAATTTTAATATTGAAAATACTTTATTACGTGAATGTGATGTCGTCCAAACTTCAAATAATCATATTAACAATACTTTTATGACAACATGATTAATGATTTATGAACATTTATATATCATTTTATTATTATTTATGTGAACAAAATATTTATTTCATTATCATTTTTATTAATGTACGGTAAATATAAGGTTTTCAGAATCGCACCGTCTTTTGGTTGTTCAGATTTTAATACATAATACTTTAATATATATATATATATATAGTACTTTTTGTAATAAATTTAAATATAAAGTGTTACTTAAATATCTAAAAAATTTATAAATTCAAATGTTTAAACTAATTGATAAACAATTTATAAATCTCTATTTTATTTAAATATGTAATTTTATTTAAAATAATTTTTCATGTAACAAAATTTGTTTAGAAAATTGTATCGATCTTACCAGTCCAACATACTGGTGTTGGCGGATTCGATAGCAAATATTTTATTCAAGCGCACTAAATCGGTTATAAACAGGTTCTCGGTCCATCCGGTCGGACTGTGTCCAACCCTGTTTAATTTATAAATAATGGGTAAATCATGATTAATGTTATTTATTTATTTAATTTATAATACAATCAAAATATTATTTTCCCGTGCATCGCACGGCCACGTACTAGTTTAAATTAAGCATATAATAAATAAATAATTTAATGGCTTTGACTGCCATTGACCGGCCGGCCGCGGCCGTTGATCGCCGGCCAAGGCAAATTTTTGGCCGCTCAACCACGCCTTCTCCTTCGGAAAGGGTACCTCCCGAAATCCACCTTCCCCCGCCGCCGCCCTCATCCCCCAGCGACTAAAAACCTGTTCTCCAATGAGGCGGGCGGCAGCGAGGCGCGATGCTGCTGATTTCTGCAACCTGTCCTCCGGCGAGGCGCAAGACGGACGACAGCGAGCAGGCCATGTGAAGGAGGAGGCGAAGACGACAACCTAAACATCCAGTGACAGCGGAGACGAAGGCGGAGTCGGAGACTGGGAGAATGCCGAGATTCTCTGGTTCAACGAGTTCGAGATTTTAGATTTCTGACTTCATCAAATGGGAGCCCGACGCTGTTCGTGAGCCAAGAATTGATAGATTCGGCGATGGAGAAGAGGGATTTCAGCGGCGATGATCGACAATTGCAGGTTGGATCGGGCATCACAGCCGAAATTTCGGTCAGGAATTGCAGGGAGAAGGGATTTTGGGGCAGGGGTCTCTTTTGTAAATTAGGCAATTTATGGGGATTTAGGTGCAATTTTAGAAACTTAAGAGTTATTGCAATTAGAGTCTTGCATTCAATCTATAATTCTTTTATAGTTTGAATAATTGTAATATGATCCTTGAGTTTTTATATTATATAATTAATACATATTTAGTTTATTTATTGGGCATATTTAGATAATACACAATTGCATATTTTAGTTATAAATAATGCATACTTAATTGAGACTAAAAAATACATATTTGGTTGATAATGCATATCTATACTTGTATTAAAGGGGTACTATTTTTCAAATTAAGTAGCCAGAAAAGTCAACAACATTTATTGCATTACTATTTCCGTATTATACTATATAAAAGGATATTCTATTTACTACATTTACTATTCAGAAAAGTCAACTGCATTAAATGTCATTACTATTTTGGTATTATAATATTTTATTTATTTAATTGATTTATTTATTTGTTTTATTTTAAAAAGGTAAGTATAATAAAAAAATTTTAATAATAAAAAAATCAAATACCAAATAAAAATGTACACTTTGACTTATTTGATTATATTTGGTATTTGATTATACCAAATATATTCATATTTAGTATATACATTAAATACTTACTAAAGTATTTATTTGTTTTATTTGTCAAAGTTAAGTATAGATTTGTTTATATTATCAAATCATAAAAAAATATTAAATCCATATTGTAAAAAAAAAAATCATATAATTTTATAACAATTCTACTACACTATTTAACAATATTCCTTTTTTATTATATAATAAAATAATAATTAAATATTATATGGTGAACAACAATAAGTAAAACTGTTACTTTCTCTTATATCAAGGGATAAATTTATATGCTAAAATTAAATTTTTATTAGTATAAATATTTTAGTGAGATAATATATTAATTATTTTACAAGCTTGCCCTAACATGCTCATATTTAATATTTTACAAGCTTGCCTAACATGCTCCTGCACCGCAAAAGGCTCGGAGCTTCTTGTGGCTTGCCGCAAACGACCGGCTTCTAACCAACGCCGAGCGAGTACGGCGTCATATCTCGGTTTCCGGGGCGTGTGACGCGTGTGGTAATGAAGAGTCGACCCTCCACGTATTGAGGGATTGTCCGAGTATTAAACCCGTCTGGAAAATGTTGCTACCTACCGGCCCGGACAGCGGCTTCTTCCAACTGCCACTTAAAACTTGGCTTAG